AAAAATAGAATAACTGGGAAAGAAACCAAAAACATATTTTTTATATTGGACACCATGTATTTTGGTTTTGAGATTATGCAAAATAAGAGAATTACAATCTATTAAAGCTTTTCGAAATGAAATCATGTTATAATCCTCTATTAATACAAAAGACACTATGAAATACTCCATCAAAAATATATTTCTATTCTCTCTTTTGATCTTTTTTTCGATTTATTCGAACAAAAAAATACGAATTTTTGTATGATTAAAATCTCAAACGACGAAGAAATTACAAATAAGAATTAAGATTCAGTTCGCATTCGTATCAATAGTTTAAACCAGTCTTTTTGCAGAATAAAACGAAGAATCGTTTTGGTATATGGTTTTATAATTCGAATTTTACCACGAATCTTTATTCAACAAAATATTCTTATGATCATTAACAGTTAATTAACTTATCAGCAGAAGACTATTTTTATTATCGAAAGGGCAGTTTCTATTTAACAAAAAATTCCGATTAGAAATATTTTTGAATATGCGCATAAATGAGTTTTTGTGAGCAATTTCAAGAAATCTTTGTAACATCGTCGTCAATGATATTCGAAAGCAATCTACGATGAAGATATGAAGTATAATATAATAAAAAAAGAATCGTTGAGCGACATTACGGATGTCTACACAATACTGTCAGTTGTGATATATGTACTCGTAGTTATCTTATTCGATGCAGTATTGCTAGATATCATTTAGTGATTTGACAAGCAAATTACTATGATCAAGTAAAAGAGAGGATGCTTTCTATTTCCAAAAGTTACACATTTGTGCATTACCTTCCGACCCAGAATTGCTTTCCATCGACTTCGGTATTGCTAGAAAATATCAGGAATTACAAATTTTTCGATGATATTGAAGTTGGTAGTGCAAAAAATTCCAGAATTGTGCAACTTATCGCAATAGAACGACTACGAGTTAAAAACCATGTACAAAGATACCAGATGAATAAATATTTCCTTTCATCGATAATTAAAATAATAATCAAAATTTGTTTATAGAAAACTTTGTTTTGCATTGAAAAATACAGCGTAATTACGCCCAAATTGGAGATGGAGTAGCTGCATGGCCGAGTCGTTTCTTCAAATATTCGACATCACCGCCGTGCTTGCAGATAGCAACACGCATCATGGCAAGTGTATTGTGCGCTGCAGTACTATGATCATGTACACCACCGTAGAATGAAACTGTAGCATCTTTGCCCACTTGATTCTTGAGTAGTGCCATACCACCGGGATGTAAATGAATAAATTTATTT